GTGTGTGTGCGTGTGTGTGTACGCGTGTGTATGTGTATGTGTGTGTGTGATCACATATCTAGAACCCGCGAAAGATCAACAAAACACGTACTTTACCGCCCGCGATACCGCCGTTTGTGTAAAACAGAGCGTCCCAAAACAAACATCTTACTAGAAGATCAGATTCTAGCTCGTGTCTCCCTTCTACACGCCTGTCCGCCCGTCTGTCGTTATCGCCTGTCGGAATGTTCACAGCCGACTCTGTGACAGCAGTATGCACTTACTAGGTCGTTCGGCGATGTATTTTTAGAGGAAACTAGAAAGAAGAATGTATTTTTCGTGTTTCCGATATTGACGCCACCGTATCGAACTAGAACGTGTTCTTATAAACCCGATAGCAGCAAGGCGTAGTAGCGCTGCGTGTGAGTCATCCTCCAATCTATCACGTAGACGCCGTTAAGTGTGTCGTTAAGATTAACGGGGCTAATCACGGGTGCGCGCGGCGGAAAACATTTATTTGGGCCAGCGAAAGGTGATCCGACGTGCAGCCGTGACCTCGTCGTTAGATAACGCCATGACACTTCGTAAGAGGATTTTTTGGGCGGGATTTTTTGTTTTATCTGGAATTCTAGTTTTGGAACCTGCGCAGGTTGGGTGTGTGGAGGGGGGGGGGGATATCTGCACTCTGCGCTTGGTTCTTCTCACAGGCACTTGGAGCGTTTCAATAAAATATCATGCTAATATCATCTACATAATATCATACATCATATCATCATCTCTCATAATCATCTACCAAAGTCTTAATGTTTCTCTACTCTCTAAGCAAATGCTCCAGCCAATGCTACACACGCCCACCGCACGCACGCTGCTGCACGCTACTGGCAGTACTGCACACTTACACATAACTAGACAAAGTGCACTCACGGAGTGCATACCTCCGCCAGCGACATACGCCATACGATTCACGAACACACGAATAACCCACGATATACGCCAGCGTATTGACATGTACACGCTCCCATGTAACATGTATGTCTTACGAGCTGACACGCTGCTGGCTGCTGCTGACTGCTGCTGGAGCTGGCTGTGGCTGGCTGGCGGAGAGTAGAGAAACATTAAGACTTTGGTAGTAAATAGATTTCGTATTTATTTAGCATGCTATTTTATTGAAACGCTCCAAGTGCATGTGGTGCTTCGTATCGATGAGGTCTCTCTCTTGTCCTCGTTGCCAGGCGGCTGTGTATTTCGGCGGTTGTAAAATTGCACACGCTCCGATGGTTCGTAAACTGTGCGCGATTGTATTCAGCTCGTGTGTGTTGTTGACTGAGTGGACGAATCTGTGTGGTGGCGGCTCTACCGGTGTAGCCCCTGTAGCTCTCGTGTAGTGGGAGTGAAGGGGCTACGCCGGTAGAAGTAGTGTGGTGGCTGCCACTTGTGTGGGTGACCCTATACTGTGTTAGATTGTATAGTATCTACGGGACCATCGGGCTGGCTACAGCAGCAGTTATAATTTTGCTCACTAATAATATTAGTTAGTAATAGTCTATTAATTATAGTTTAATGAATTAGTCACTGATAGTACTTTCACACTAATAGTACTAATAGTAATTCCTGGAGTGGAATGGAGCTGGGAAACGGTAGCCTACTCACCCGACATAGATTCACTCCACCTGCTATGGCCAAACAATTAATCTGCAATAATCGCACACACGAGCACAACGCGGCTGCGCACAACACGACACACAACCACACCACACACACCACACACACACACACACACCACACACACACGCACACAACACACACACACACACACACACAACACCGCACACACACGTGCACCCGTGTCCGGCATAGCCCCCTCCTTCGTCCACCTTCCCTCTCTAAATTTGTTAACCCTCTCTAAATTGTTAACTCCCTCTCTAAATTGTTAACCAAGAGTCTGAAAGGAATGAAGTCTCAGTGTGTTAACGCTGTCTCTGCCACTGCAGTACAATATTGCTGTACGACCCGTGTTGAGTTAGTACAGCGAATTGAATAGGTAGCGGCTAGTAAGACGTCTATACACGTCAATGCGATGACGTAATCAATCCACCGAGAGCTTTCCTATAAGCTATACAGCCTGTCACACATAGCTAATTACTTAATGAACGGTACGGCATAACATCGGCGACTGCGGGGTTTAGACTGCAGCCAGACTGCGTGTCGTCGTGTTGGGCAAGCGCGCTGGAAGCGTGAATCGCGATCGAGGTACAGTGAGGTCAGTCTAGAAGGAAGGATGGAGGGGCGTCCTGTTGCAAAGAAAAGCCAATTAGTAGTGAGAATTAAATACGTTGACAAACAACAAAGGGAAGCAGCGCTCCCTGTCCTCGACATGTAGAAGCAACAGCCTCCTCACGTATTCACAGTAAGCAACAGCATTAGTCTGACTACTGTGTATGCCGCACAGCTGCAACGTGTACCCTACTGACCAGCTGTCAACACCCTATAGTTTCTACTACCGTCATATTTCTTCGATACAAACTATCAGTAAATTATAAAGTAAATTAATTTGTCATTATTAACGTGTTAACTCTAAAACTCCTGAAACTATGTATCTAATATGTATTATATATATATATATATATATATATATATATAGTAATATAGGATATGTGTTAATAATGACAAATGTTTGTCATTATTAACCCCTGATATATAGATATTTCGATAGCTATATGTATGTAATAATACATTATTAGCTGTTGTGTATGTATGTGTAGATACATACGACTCGCACATTCTCCGCCACATCCTTAATCTATTAATCTGATAATCTATTAATCTATCGATAGCTTAGATTATCTATAATCTATAATCTATAATCTATAATCTACCGTTATAGATTAGACAGATAATCTATAATCTGTCCGCCCACCAATCGATCATTGATATCTATTATTGAGCACATAAACATTCAACCTTAAACCTTACAACGTAAGCCTCATAAACCGTCATATACTGGCGTTATATATATAAGCTCGATACCTTATTAGATATTATCAGGAGATATTATATATCAGGTACCCTCCACCATATGTGTACGTCAACACTCTCCTACCCACGAAAATTCTTCTCTTAGGCAAATCCTCAGGTAACAGACTTATAATTTAAGCTGAAATTAAGCTGCGTAATTAACTAACCCGCGTGGCAAAACTAGAGCATCACGTTACCTTCGAGTTTCGCCTGTAGACACCGTACGTGAGTCTTTGAGAATCAACGTAACCTCAGTGGACTTCTTGTCGCGTCGCTATAGTTTATGGGGTTTCGCCGTAAAAATCGCGTCTGTCATCGCGGTTCTTCGTAAAATGCGATTTCGTGGAAGACGGAAAGATGCGCATACGTACGTTGTTCGTAACAGCGAGAGGGCATAAACCATCTTTATGATGCTCTATGGGTTTATGTGCTGTGCTATTGATTATGTTACTCCTGCCGTAAGTTCAAAATGCGCCGGAAAACATTACTATAACGTCTTACGACGTACTAGTATCGTACATGCTCTTGATTACGTGAGCGGATAAAAAATATAAAGAAATAACTTACTACTGACTAAAATAAATATCAAATGAAAATTTGAATTGAACCTTTTTTTTAAATATAATAAAATAAACGTGTTTTGTATTAACTCATGTTTATGTCACTCCCCCATGTAATCCACCCATTACAGTCTGATTGCGTCGGTGATATGTTATATGGGCTGCGACTATAACAGCGAGCTCACACATCGATGGATCATGACCGCGACCTTGACAGCCTGTTTACGGTTACGATCAATCGCTAAATCAATATTCCGTCGATGTCTTTATGTTATCGATGTGGCGCTCGGCACAACCCGTTGATGTGATCAACACGACGTGTGCGTGAACTCTTCGTGACACACGGGCGCAGCATAATGCAGGCCTATTTACTCGCTCTTCGTCCCCACCTGTTAGGTCACAGGTGTGAAAGCGGTTGAAGCGCGCAGTGGCATTTAGCCAGTTCTCTGGCCTCTTGTGTTTTTTTCTTTTATGTTCTTTCGTGCTTACCCTTATTTATATTTATATGTTATTTATCCTCTCCCGCAAATGGGAATGAGAAAAAATAGGTTGATAATCTCGGCTCGATGGTTCGTGTGATCTATATAACTAAATAAATGAAAAAAGAATGACCAAGTTTATATTTCATGCTCATCATTTTGTTTAGATGTTTAGACCCATGGTACATTAACCGATATGGAATTATGATGGATGGAACATATTATGAACATTCCTTGTTATACATGAAACTGTCACGTAATGTTTATAGTCTGATTAACCTCGAGAGAGTTACCACAAGTTTACATGCCCGCGTATGTCAGGTTAAAATACCCTTTATTTAGATATGCAGATATATGGATTAGAATAAGTGTGGAAAAATTTGATTTTTTGACAATCACGCGCGTTTTTCCTAATGTTTATTGAACGAAAATCGCCCCAGTAAAATATTATACGGGCATCCTTATTTCTTTATTATTCCTCTGCCTTATTTCTTTGGCCGTGACTACGCGTCCGGTTACCGGACGCCCAGCTCCCAGGCTACGCGTCCGGTCATATATTTCTTATGTGAACTATATTTTTCCAATAAAAAACAATAAACAATATGTTTTTACCATAACATTACTTACCTTTAGGTATTTTATCAAAGAAATGTGTTTTTGTAATATTTGAAGCAATAGTAAATCCAGTAAAATAAACGATTTGAAAGGGGGCGTGGCCTAATCGTGACGTGGATTTGGGAATCTGTGCTGAGCTTTAAATAGATGACCGTACGCGTAGCCACTGCGTATTTCTTTTTACGCTAGTTTCGCATGATACGGTGGCGCCACCCCCACCCACACATACCACACCGTGTATTAATTTCGCTTGCTGGTACGTGCTGACAAATCATCATCATCATCATCATCATCATCATCATCATCATCATCATCATCATCTCAATTGTTCTCCGTCGTCTTTTTCGCTCAGGTTGGCTGTTCGACATCACCAACAACTACAACTACTCGTTCTACATGATGGGCACGGCCGTCGGCATCAGCGGGGCCATGCTGTTCTTCCTTCCCTGCGTGCAGCGCTGGCAGACGCGGAGACGCGAGCGCGGGCGTGCGCATGCGCAAGCGCCGAGATGCCCGCAGAAGATCTCCATCTGCGAGATGGAGTCGACCATATAGGGAGAACTGATCTGCAAACGCGAGAGCAAGGCGAGGAGGAGGGAAGAGAGTCCATGCTCACGGAGGGTGTATGTACGCGCACCAGTGGGTGCATGGATGGATGCCTTATGCCAGTCAGTAGTTTCGACGTTGACGTCATATCATATTTGTTCATGGCGGATGAAGATATTGCGAATCATCCATTATGAGGTGTTGATGTTCAACTCGGCCGCTACTTAACAGAACTGAAGCGAGATGTCGCTGCTAGCTAATACGGTTACTGTTGGTTGCAGCAGATGCTACAATCATCGATTAGATCTTGGTTTTGACAGGCACCATGCGCACGTATTGAATGATATTTGATCGATATATTGCCATTATTTGATCGTCAGGTGTCTATTATCTTAATTCAGTTGCCATTCTTTGTGATAGAAGAGTTGTTATTAAAATTATAGTTGATGATTCGTCTGTGTTGGTCGAACTGTTCCCGCGACCTCCTATTGCTGTATAATACTCTCGTTCTACGATGTTGCTTATTATATTGTTATACCTATCTGACTGTTGAGAAACCCGCATGTGGTCGTTTAAGACTTTAAGACTGTAGCTTTATTCTTCGAAGAAGCGAGCCGATGAAAGAGATATATCCAAATTGACATTATATGATTTGTACATGACGCATGTACGCGTGTCGGCACCCATAGTGCACGTTTCATGCACGGAATCAGTGAATCGGTGAATTCTGGACGGAGGAGGAAGTTGTGCGAGTGCCTTATGCGCGTCGTTTTTTTTTATTAAACTTCTTCCTTCCCATCGCGTGACTTATGTCGATGAGTCATCATAAGAGACGCTCGCGTGTGTCTGCCTCTTGAGAGAGGCAGGAGGTAGTTAACAACAGCATCGGTCCGCGCGTACGTGTTAATTTGACTTCCTCTTCTCGTTGTTTCTATACGTCGTGGCGCGCGACCGAGTTCCAACCAACTCGTTGCCACGGTAACGCACGCGAGTGCTGCCGAGGCGATGTCCGCATTGCGAGTACGTTGACTTGCGGGGCGCGCGCCGCCGCGGTTTCCGTTGTTTTGCGAGTTTCTTGCGAAAATGTTGTTTCCCGACGTAGACCCCCCGCAGACCGTCTGTTTGTGTGCGGTGCTAGGGTTCAACAGTGAGTGCATCTTAACTGCGTAGATGCGAAGCCGAGCATGTACACGATGCAGCTGCACGAAGTCCACGCTATTTATTCAGATAACATTTTCTTCCTTCACTTTTCCATTGTAAAATACACCGATTATATCGCGATGTGATAGTTTGATTAATGGATCGCAGATATAAGGCGATTAATTACGAAACGTGTATATCAGACGTTTGAAAGACGATGAAGGTAGCTGATAGTACCAGGACTGGGTAATAAATATTGAACACTCCTGATAAAATGCATGACTCGTTATCATCGACAACTCGTAGAACGTAAAATGACATATGGACGAGGAAATAAGATTAATCCTCAGCTAGTGCATCCATACAATTATCGCAGCTACCTGTCTTTCACCCGAGATTTTGGACTATCAATTGCTTGAAAAAAGGCTTAGGTCAAATGTTCACCTGTCAGCTTAAAACGGTTATTGCGAGATTTTTTTCTCAGGAAAACTAAATAAAGCTGAATAATTATAGTCTCACCTGACAGCGGAAATATCACTGATTACACCAACATTAAAAATACTAAGATTTTATGCAGTTATAGCATAGAAAAATGCATTTGACCACATCGTAACAGCAATAAATTTTATCGTATGCCGATAATGCCTAATGGCAGAATTGGTAAACTTGTATTAGCTAATCCATACTTCCTGTTAGTTCAAGATGACAGAAAACGAATGTTTACAAAAACGATTTGTTCGAAACTGGCAGTTTTCAATGAATACGAAGGTTTTAAGACATTTTATTGTTACTCTAGACAATTGCTGTTACTCAAGCAATAACGGTAGGTGTCATGAAAGTGGTGAAAACACTGGAAAACTCTCGCAATGGTTACTTTTAGATATAGAAGTAAAAACACACGGACACCAATGCAGATATATAGAAAAATAAAATGTAAAAATAGAATAAGGTTTAAATTATGAATAAGTAAGTAAATGACACCTTATTCTATATAAACGTATGTATATATATATTATCAGGAGTCTATCAATATTGATAGACTCCTGATATTATACTATTCTTGCCCTTGCACGAGTATATAAAAATGAGTTTTATTCTCCTCGTAAATACTCGGTGATCTCTGAGATGCCGCGGTCTCATAAATCTTCTCTTATCTGGAAGTAAATGTACTCTCCCATCTGTTTGTTTACAAACACAGCTCCCACCGCACGACGGTGATTTATGTGTGTGTGTTTGTGCGTGCGTGCGTGCGTGCGTGCATGCATGCGTGCGTTCGTGTGTGTGTGCATGCGTGCGTGTGTGTGTGCGTGTGTGTGTGTGTGCGTGCGTGCGTGCATGCGTGCGTGCGTGCGTGTGTGTACGCGCTGCCATCCTTTACGCTCGTACAAAGTTTACTCTTTATTTATTAACACGGAGACCTCCTTTCTCCTCGTGTGTAGGCAGATGTCTCTTTAAAAGCGTAATTCATTTATTCGCTATTGGGGACTGTAGTGGCATCTCCCCCCCCCCCGATAGCGTTGCTACGGCGACCGTTCTCTAGTTATTATATAATATTCGGAGTAATTAAAACTTTTAATATACTTAGCACAGTGGGGAGAGAGAGTGAGAAAGAGCAAGAGAAATAGAGAACGAGGGAGAGCGAGAAAAAGAAAAAGAGAGCGAGA